CAAAGTGTTCCAAAATCAAGTACCAGAGGCACTTGAGGAAAACATTTTAAAATATAGTCATATGAGAGAGCAAAAAATTCTGAGCAAAATGAGGGGTCGCCTAGTTCTTCACGATGTTTTCTTATAAAGTTATAAGCATCAGAAAAGTAAAAAAAAATGTGTTTTTAGGCTATTTTTAGTGGTTTTTTGATGAGTTTTAAAGTTTTTTTGGGTGTTATATCACTCTATTGGCACCCACACCCTTATTAGGTTTTTATTGGTTAAAATACAGAGGTATGATTATGTTCGCTGAATTTTTTTATTTTTCTGTGTTTAAGTCAACATAAAACGTCTTAATATTTTTGGACATCTATTGAAATATTAAACTTTAATGCATTATGCTTTCAATCACTGTAGCCAGGTAATTAGAAGATTAAGTTTCTTATTTCGATTCATGGTTAATGTATTACTATTTTTAGTACGAGAAGACTTTAGCTTAGCTTGATCTTGATTGTAGTAGAATCAGTGAGAATGAATTTAAATTTGGATATAAATTTTAGAGTTCATGCTAGAAAAGAAATGGGTCATGTTGATCTACGACTTATTTGATGAAATGTAACAAAAATGTGTCAGATATTGTCCTAGGATAATGCAATAGTGAACCGGATGATTAAAATAGGTCCATAACGATGTTTTAGTATTTATATATTACTTTTATCTAAAGTATTTTATAGATGCAGTCTTTCTTTTTTAGTCTCTTCAAATAAAATAAGTGTTTCTACGTGCTTTTCTAGATATTTCGTTAAAATAGACGGCAGATAATACACAATAAAACATCAATTTCTTTTATTTTCATTAAAAAATGTTCCAGTAAAGGCGATCTAGAGTTAGTAAAATAAGTAAAAGTCAATCGCTTAGACATGATGATAATGTTACAGTTTTCATGTCAAAACAAGAAGACAGTAATATTACATATCTTTGAATAATTACTAATCAAAAAGCACATAAATCTAGAAAGATATAAGGTTTGTCACTATTTTCTATTGAAATTAAATCTTTTTGATTAGAGGAACAATAACCAAAGAAGGAAGTATCTTTAAGCTTCTGTATTTTCAGTGAATGTTTTTTATTGGTGTTTTATTTCGACTTTTCTTTACTTCCGATGAAAAAGAACGGTTGAGTACATATTTTTCAGATATTCGTATGCTCTTTGAAGACACTTATATGGGTTTTTTTTCGAAATGCGTCCTGAAGGCCGTTTTTTTTTCATTCCATTGAATGCGTTCTTGATATGAGAGAATGATTATTTACACTTTAAAAAAGCGTTCTGAGCAAGGAACGAGTATTTATTTCATTGTGACACGTGTAACGGTTTATTTCCTTTTTTGTGCTTCCTTCTTCAACTTTATTCTATATATGAATGAAAAAAATCTCTCCTCTTTTCTTCCTGACCTCGCTTTGTTCTCGACAGAGGTCAAGACAAAGAGGGAAGAAAAGTGATATACAATTGGAGGTGACCTGTCTGGGAGAGAGATATGTTGTGATTCGTCACAACACGTTCAATGAGAAATAGTTTATTGTGATCAATAGTACGTTCTCTTTTGACTAGAAGCGCGTTCAACACCAATGAAACCCATTTCTTAAGAATTACATTCGAGTACTTTCAATGTGTGAGTGTCCTGCTATTATTGGAACAGATCGTTTTCGTCAAATACAGAGCATACGTTTCGATAGAAAGCAAGATGGGTCTCTAGAAATGCGGATAAGTATCTTCAGAGCACGTTTCATCATTTTCAAAATGCGTCCCAAACCTTTTTTGTGCTTTTGATTTCACCGGTTGTTCACAAAGACATTTTCGAAAATTGCTTTCAATGTCAACGAAGAAAAAATCTTTGATTTATACATTGTAGTATAAATAAAAGAACATTATTTCTCCGACGAGCAAACGGCGAATAAAAAGACTGATATCTAATCCAGACGACACGTCCGGTATAGTCTTTTTCTCAAAACAAACTGCTATATGACTAGTCCGAAATCGTTTGGAATATTTAGGATCAGTCAAAAATAGATTGTAAATTTAAAAAAAAAGAAGAGCGTCAATGACGCGACATTCATCAAGATCTAGTTATATATGTGCACAGAGTTAGATTGGAACATGCATGGCATATATTACTTACCCACATTTTATCCGATGGAACCCTATGATCAAGTGATCAACTTTAACATATTAATAGATATTTTAAGATGATAATTAATGTCCTTTGACTTACTTTGTCTCAACTGTTAACATCAATAAAAAATGTTTATTATAGAATCTGACATCAGGTAAATAGAGATAAATATAATTAATTGAGAGTTTTTTTTTGTCATCGATCTTTGAAAAACAATTGATATTTCAAAACAAAATAAAAATAATGTTTATTTTCAAAAAATTCTTTCCTTTCATGTCATAGTCTACGTTTATTTTCACTTAAAATATTTTCGATTTAAATTTGAAAATAAACTAGAATTCTATGATTTAAATCTCCTTTTAACTTTAAGTCATCAGATTTCATAGTAAGATAAAATAATATTCTCCTACTAAAATTTATTGTTCTAATAAAATTACAGTCTAAAAATTTAAAGGATATAAATAGGCAACTCTCGTTAGATACATGGTTCTAGTCTCCATGTAAATGAGTTGCTCGGATAATTAAGAGATTAGTCTCAATCAAAACTGACACTAGTTCCTTAAAAAATAGCTATTCATGACTAGACAAACGATTCTTCATATTAGTCCGGATTGCTATCGAAAACAATCTAGACTAGTCAGATATTCAATACTGTCGGATCGAATTCACCTATCGTCTCCTTTTCTTCTGACTTTTATCGTTATGCTGACGCATCTGAACAGGATAATCATTCAAAACAGACTAGTCAATATTAGCTGGCAAGATGTTGTGCGTCAAGACAACTCATCCTGATCGACTGCATGCCATTTTCGACTAGGCCATACGGTAGTGCACATATATATGAGACTAGTCATGTCAGGCGACCTTCCTTATTTTTATGTAGCTATTTAATCTATATCGTAATGTGTGTTTTAAGAAGTCAACCAGGCTTTCGGCACTGAGTTAATCAGTATAGGTAAGCAATAAGGTATTTCCTATTCAAGAATATACCATCAAGGTAAATTTTTCCTTTATTTCCAGTTAAAAGTCTTTGTTTTTATAGAAGAAAAATTTACATCTTCCGTCATCTTGTTATTCTTAACTACGTTTCTGCTTGTGAAAGGGAGTACAATGTCCTCTATTGCATTAGTTGAATAATAATCGGTAGTATTGATCTTAAAAATAAATTTTTGATTTATTTATATCATAAATCATCTTCTTTTTTTGTATTGCGACAATCACATATCAAAACAACAAAATTATATTTTAGAAACAGTATAGAAAATCATTTTTTAGCTTATTGAATAGTATGATGCCATTCAGTTACCTCAACATAATGTTAATATATGCTAGATTTTCAGAATTTATTTGACAAAGGGATATGTGAATGTGTCCACTTGTTATTTGATTGAACCTATATTCAAGTGAGCAGTGTAAAAGTATATGAGAGTTTCATTGTCTGAGCTTCTTCTTTTCATAGATTGTCTTCTACCGTATTTTATTTTTATTGAGAAATTGTATATAATCAATACAAAAAGAATAATTATTTCTTTTTCGTTACGAGTTCTTTTTATCAGTATCCATCATATCTGAGTCATCTATACAGTTTCGAAGAATGAAGGATCAATAAAATTTTCACACAACTCACCATGTCCTCTCATCATAATACAATTTCAATCGAGCAGTATTTCGACTGCTATGGAAATTCCATCATTAACAATAAGCCACTATAACAACGATCAGTAATTATCACACAAAAACGATAATCGATTTGTTATTATATCTAGAATCACAATATTGAGTTGATAATAAACATTTACAAAATATTTGACTATTCTCTTACCGAATTTCGAATGCTTCTTTCTTATTTCTAGTACATGATATACAATCATTCGAAGAGGTTTTTTTTCTAGATATTGTCATCAATATTCAATCGATAAAGTAAATTCGAAAAAAAATCAAAAGGAACTTAGATTATGTCTGGAATGAGTGCTGCTGAACGTTTGCGTAATGATAATGTTCGGCTATGTCGATTGTGTTTTTGGTCCAATTTCGAAGGACTTGGTTTTAATCTTGAAAAATCTGCTCAACCACCGCATATAATTCGACTTGTCGAACCTAATAGTCCAGCTGCAGCTGGTGGTTTGAAAATTCTTGATGTTGTATTAACTGTTAATCAAGAAGATGTATCCCAAGCCGATTATAGTCGAGTACGAGATGCTATAAAAATAGCTTGTGATAGCAAGAATCCGATTGAACTACTCGTTGCTAAACAACGTTTTTATCAACAATTAAAGACAAAAATTATTTTAATTAATCCTGAAAGGGTAACTATTATAAATACACCAGAAAAAATGCCAAGTGATTATTTAAATTTTCCTAAACATATACCACGTACATGTTATATATGCTTAAATGACAAGGAAACATTATTTGGTTTTGAAACTATTCATGGTGAAAAGGATATTGGTCTATGTATTCAAAAAGTATTTCCAAATACTCCAGCTAGTAATACATCATTACGTAAATGTGATCGTATTATTGAAATCAATGATAAATATGTTGATAATGATTTAAGTAGTTCTATATTAGAAAAATTAAAAAAAGCAAAAATGCAAGGTGTTGTAAAATTATATGTTGTTGATACAGAAACATATAAATATGCTCAAGTAAATAAAATATCATTAAAATCAAAACGACAACATCAAAACGAATTAACAGGTAGATTATTACTAAATCAAATAATATATACATATATGCATAAAATTTCATTACTAATCCGATCAACCTTGAATATTGTACTTATTTAAAATTTAAAAAACTAAGCAGTTTTGTATCGTTTCTCAGTCTTTATTTATTAGGGAAAAAAGTATCCAAATAGCTTTCGTTCTTTTTTCCTACCCAAAGAAAAAAAGATGACAAAAATTAATGATAATTTTTTTTTCATTTAGTTTCGTCTATCAATCATGGTAATCAATCATTACGACCGAATACACCAATAATTATGGATTTATGTGATAGTCATCGTGCTGATTCTATCAAACTTAATTATGATAATCAAGAAAAATTTCATTCATCAACTATTGCATCTGATCGAGAAAATGGAGAATTAGATGACATTTGTTGTGTTCAAATTGTCTTTACACTTTTTTTCGCTGGTTTTTTATTCTTGTACTTATCTTACTCATAATATCAAAATAAATGCTATCGTTTATTTCAAATAGATTATTTTTAGTTTTTAAAAATTACAAATACATAAAGGGTGAGGGTGGATAGGTTCGGGCCAGAGTGGATGTGATTGTCGATGAAGAGAATACTAATTAGTACAATGATTTTTTAGTTTTTGTATAATGCTTGAAAGTTTTTAAGGAAAGAAATAAAAACAAACATAATATCTCATTTTAAATGATATTAATCAACAAATGAACTTTGGTGAAATGATTATGTCGATGAGTGTGGATCGAAGCTGCTCGTCTGGTCTGATCATGCTAAAACTTTTAGTCTGAGTATGATTTAATACCAACATTTATAGTATTTATTACTAAGAATAAGACGACTTCGTGAGTCGATGATGATTACTTCTGATGTTTTCTGTTGATCATCAAGTCAATCGATGTTTTATAAGGTTTTTGATCGTGTTTGTTACTATTAACGTTCAGTTCTTGGGCACTTAGAATTTTTCAATCTCTTTTTGAATATTTTACTTTGATGATACACAACTAAAATTATTTCTAGCACTTTTTATGCTAAAAATATTTAATATTCTTCTTACTTGTCCAATTTTATACCCAGGATGATCGCGAAGCTCAGGCAAAGAGTTCCATGGTTCCAAGAGCTGGTCTAAGCTAGAATAGAATTCAGAGTATCGTTTCATAAAAATGATGAAGAATTAAGTTCTGTTCACTTGAAAAATTATTGTTTGAATAAAATTTATCAAACCGTAAGATTAGTAGAAGATTTTCGGCTAATTTTGAGAAGTTCTCACTCGTACATATTTAAGATTGAAGATACGTTACGTATCTATAGATAGTCGTCACTTTATTTCGAAGAAATTGTGTCGAAGATTTTCATAAAATTTATCTTAAAATTCATTCATGAATGCTCTTACTCGAGAATTGAAACGTATATAATGAATTGATGCTAATTTGTAAATTTCATAATAATAAACAATCTGAAACATTAGTTCGCTTAGTTTGGCCTTCAGGCCTAATCACATCCGTATTGTACATTATTTTACAAGTAAAAGCTCACACATCACAGATTCAATTTGTTCAGTCTAATGCGTATCTGGTTTTCCAATACTGAACAACTCTATGAATTTATTATGTCCGATATGAATTGTAGAGCCATCGATTAGAGAGAAGATTCATAATTCTACCTAGACAATTCTACACTAATTAACGATTGCAAATAAGCTAAATAGTTTATTCTGATAGTAGATCAAAAAATAAACTTTACATGATATATTCGGACAAAGAAAGCACTCATGTTTGTAAGAAGAATACATGAAACTAGAAATAATAAAATCAAATGACAAAAGCTACTTATTGTCTTCAGATTTTTGAATAGATAAATAAAATTCAATGTGGTTCAAAGTACAATATCATTTAATTATATCAGTAGTTGTTCAAGTTCCTGTCGATGGATCGTATAACTCAGCACTGTTTAAAACGACATCATCGGGTGGCATTAGTTCGCCGGTTTTTCCACCAGTAACCAATACTTTTCCATTTTTTAATAAGTTTGCTGTGTGAGTCTGTCGTCGATGGTTTATGCTAGCAGCAATTGTCCAAGTTCCACTCGATGGAGGATGTGGGTGTGGGTGTGGGTGGGTGTGTGGTTGTGGGTGTGGGTGGGTGTGTGGGTGGGTGTGTGGTTGTGGGTGTGGGTGGGTGTGTGGGTGTGGGTGTGGGTGGGTGTGTGGGTGTGGGTGTGGGTGGGTGTGTGGGTGTGGGTGTGGGTGTGGGTGGGTGTGTGGGTGTGGGTGTGAGTGTGGGTAAAGAAGTGGTATATGAACATACACACAGACCCAGCCACACCCACCCCACACCCACGCACACCCAACCCACACCCACACCGACACCGACACCCACACTCTCAAGGAAAAAAGTACTTTTGTCTCATGAGAGCATCGTACACAAGTATTCGATGGTGTTTTTCTAGTATTCTACATTTATTGAGAAGACAACATTGAATGTCATTTCGATCCAATCAAATGTGTGGATATTCCATATGGATATGAAAACTTCTTTCTTGGAGGTTCTTTCTTTTTCTACGCTTTCCTTAGAGTCGATCAATTTCTTGCTATTCTGTTATTTGTATTTGCAGTGCTTCTTCTCCAAATATGCTTTTACATCAAAAATATTGACTTCGTAGATAGTTACAGTTTGAAGCGAAACGAAAAAAAAAACAAGTTTTGTAACTAACAAAAGAATGCGAGAAAAATAATGTAATGTTGCCCGCATGTTAACATCACAAATAGTCGTTTGTGTACTTTTTTTTCTTCGCAACACACTAAAAAATATAATTATACATATACGAAAAAGGTAAAAGTCTGTGATTTGTACGTTGTACAGGTCCATTATTTTTTTGCAACATTAACACGAAGAATTGTTTTCAAGGAACTTTAGAAACTACAGTGAGACGCTTTAAATTGTAACGTAAATAAATTATATCAGATCAGTTCAAGTATCATAGAAGAAAAGAGCATTCTAGTTGCAAATAAATTACGTTCCCTAATATAAATTCAGCCATCAAACTTATTATATTAGCACTTGACATGAGTACGATACCAAATAACGTTCGTAATTATTTCAAATTAGAACTCTTGATAGCACGTTCACATAATATTCTTCGCCAGTTATTCAAGAACCGTTATTCGTTATTCAATGGTGGAAAAGTATGGGATGACTCACCAGCATGTGGAAGCAATTATTCAGCCAATTTTATATCAAAAACTAAACAGTTTAATTGAACAGCAGCGCAGAAAACATCTATTGCGAATGGTGATTCAAATGCATGGGATTTAACGACTCTAACTGCTCTTCTGCTAAGTACTGATCGTCCGAAAACCCTGAACAAAACTGAAATACAACAACTCAATAATGAAGATAAACTTTTAAAGCAATTAAGAGATATTCGAAATAATTTAGCTCATCACCCATCAAAATCTATCGACAATACTGAATTTGATCAGCTCTGGATCGAATTAGTGGCAATTCTAGGTGTACTTGGTGATATGGATAGTGAATTAAATAAATTAAAACATGACAGTGTTTTTGAACTGTCTGTTCAATCGATAAATGAAGAGAACATGAAAGAAGCAAAACGATTAAATTCACTGGGTACACAAGCCCATAAAGCTGGAAATTTTTTCGATGCTATCAGGTTATTTACGAAAGCAACTGACTTATCAAATGTTTCAGATCATGATCGTGCTGTTTTCTATTCGAATATGTCTTCTAGTCGTTTAGCATTGTATGAACCACGATCGAATCTTTCGAACAACTTTGACACTTTCGAGTCAACAGATCAACGATATCGTGCACTACAAGATGCTAAAGAAGCTCGAAACCTTTGGCCAACATGGTGGAAAGGACATTTTCGTGTCGGTAAAGCATATGCCACCTTAAATAAACATGAAAAAGCTATTAATTCACTTGAACGAGCATTAGGCTTGCTCCTGCAAATAATGAGGTTCGGAAAGCATTAGATGAAAGTCGACAAATATATGAACGACAATCACGATATGAGCATCTTGACCCACGACTGCAACCAGGAACAATAGATGAACACTTAAATGAAATGAAACAGAAGTTGGGCACAGATCCTGATAAAGTACAATTGGGTCATAGTTTACTTGAGGGAATAGATCCAGCTTCAGCTAATGTGGTGAAAGGGCATAAATTCGAACATGGAGATATTGATGTTAAACAAAATTATGAACAAGCTGCCAAGTACTTTGCTAAAGCAGCGAGTCAGGGCAATGCCGAGGGAATGTATAACATAGGTCAGTTGACTGATCTCAGTTTAGGCGTTAAAAAGGATCATCGAATGGCTCGTATGTGGTTTGAAAAAGCAGCTGCACAATTACCCCAAAATTCGCTATTTCCAGATCGTCCAAATCTTGGTGTAGCTGAAGCTGAACATGCTCTAGGACTGAGATATGCTGCAGGCGTGTCCGTTGACAAAAATCTGGAAACTGCTGCTTACTGGTACCAGCGTGCTGTTGATCATGGTAGTGCACCAGCAGCCAATAACTTAGCTCTAATGTATCTACATGGCACTGGTGTCGATCAAGATCTTGAAAAGGCCGAACAACTATTACAGTTATCAGCTAGAAATGGTGATCAAAACGCCATGTTGACTTTATCTGGGCTTTTATTGAGCAAAAATGATCCTCAAATGGCAAAAATTTGGCATGATAGAGCATGTGAGTCTGGAAATATATTTGCTCAAATGAACCGAGATATGTTTGAGAAACTACAGAAAATACAAAAGTTATTCGGTGGTTTTCCGCTAAATGTTTCACAAATTGTGAATGGAATGAAGAATACTGTCGAGTCATTAAAGACAGTAGTAACCAACTTGAAACAGTCTAATCATATATATATTCATGATTATAATGTATTAACCGAACATGATAATCGTGATTCAATAACGGCTAAAAGGATGTGTAATGCGCTTGAACATTTTGCAGAAGCTTTAAACATGCTGATGGAGTTAAAATCTTTAACAGAAAAACAAGAAAACATACTCGTACATGAACTTTCACAATGTTATCGTATTGAGCATTTTGTCGCCCAATTTCCGAATGTGGAAACGCGTGAGAAAGCTGTCGAAATCATTGACCGAGTGCTTCGCCGTTGTAAACTAGAATCGAATGGTGTTGCCTCACAGCTCGATGAAGATGCTCGGATATGTTATGCTATATTACATATGCTTTCACATGAATTAGTCCTTCAATTTCTCGGTCCATGTAAACAAAAGTATCCAAAATGCATTCATTTTTTTCAAATTAAGTGCAGCAATGAATGGTTTCTTAAGTCAATATGAAGCTACTATATAGGATGCTAATGCCGGTCTGAAAATTGATCCAAACTATTATGAATTATTGTATGATAAAGCTGTTGCATTGCGTTTATTAGATAAAGATATGAATGAAGCAATCGAAGCGTATCGCGCATTTCTTACGATTGCTCCTAAAGACCATCGCAAAGTACCTGAATCATATTATGCAATGGCCAACTGTTATTTTGAACTTCACCAACGCGATATTTCGACAGATATTGTAAAAAAAGTATATGAACAAGGGGAAGAGGCAGAGAAAGTACAATTACCATGTTTTCTACCTTATGACTCAAACAACAAAACAGAACTCAAATTCATGTTTGATAGGAAATCTCCCCCAAATGTAAATGTAGTAGCTCCACTTCTTGATCGCAAATCGCGTCTTCTTGACCCACATCGAATTAGAGTTATTAAACAACATCGTCAATGGCAAGCTGCATTATTAGAAGCGAGAAATGATTCGATGTACACGTTTATGTCTGGCAGTCATGAACCTCGAGCTCAACAACAAGCAGTCAAATCATTAATTGGTTTAAAACCAATTTCATTGAGGGAAATCGATCCAACAAAAGATCATGTTTATAATGGATATGTTCTTTCTGTAACAATTATCGAAGATGCATACTCATGGACTCCATCCATTCATCTTGTGATTGAAGATGAACATCTAGATTGTGAACGAATGTTTATTTATGGTTTTCCTGAAGGACATGGCAAATACTTAACCAGTAAAGTTTTCACACTTGGTAGTAAAATGAGCATTATGAATCCATACTTACGATTAGGTGGAAGTGATATGAAATCCTCAGTTCGTATTGATGACTTTTCATCAATAATTATGCAAAATGAGTCTGAACGAGTATTGAATATGTGTCGATGCTGTGGAACATCAAATGCATTACATGTTTGTGGTAAATGCAAGCAAGCACATTATTGTACAAAAGAATGTCAAATAACGGATTGGAAATTATATGGCCATAAACTCATATGTAAAAAACAATAAAAATGATATACAGGGTGTTCCAAAATTAAGAAAACAAAAAGGGTATGCTATAATAACGGATAATAGATTGTTAATGGTATTTTTCATACCTTTTATTGATGGAGAGAACTAACATTTTTATCACATATATATCTAGTTAAGATCTTTTATTTCTGAAAGTTTCAGCTTTCCACATCAATAAAAAATATAAAAAATGTTATTAACAATCTATTATCCATTATCACGGCATACCCTTTTTGTTTCCTTACTTTTGGGACACCCTGTATAAGCTTAGAGTTTTCATACTACTTTTCTAAAAGGAACTTGCTTTTTCATCATAACTATACAATTAGATGTAATGTCGTAAAAACCTCTATTGCATAATAAACAAGAACTTGCTTAGTACTTACAGTTATCACTGTAATAATTAGATGAAGTTGCTAATTCAATAACTCAAAGTAGAATTATATAAGTCGAATGCCTACAATCGCGGTTATATTGCTGAATATGAACTAGAGCATGTGGAAACATATAGTCTACGACAAAAGCTTAAGCAAAATTAGTTTTTCAGATTTTTTTTACACATTTTTCTATGTTTGTTTATAGAACACGACTCTATCTGTCTATATCGATTTCATACAATGAACATTGATTGTTGATCGAAAAAAGTATCGATGTGAAACTACCAGGCCGACCAATCAGATTTCAGATCCCATCGACCAATAAGAGGCGATCCATAGAATACCAAGCCCCGTCCATGAAATACCAAGGGATATGTCCTTAGTTATCAGCTCCAAAACTATTCACTTTTTCCTTCCTCGATCTTCTACGAAACTTCTAACTAACCTTCAGTCCAGAAAACACTTAAAAATAACGAAGAATATGTTCAACTTCGGGATGCCTGTATGCATCCTACGATACAATCCCTTCTACAATTCACACCACCACTAAACAGGTCCCAGCCATGAATTATATATCATTAGACGCAGAATTGAATGTTGATTCAGAATTATCTTCATCGATTGCCAGGATATATTTATGAAGAGGGAAAAACCCAAAAAAAGACGATAAGCTCAGGAAATGCAGGTGCTCCATCATATACTGTCCCTTCCAACTGCCGGAAGGAAATATGTCCGGGCAATTCTAATTACAGATTCTGATTCAGCATGAAAATTCAGCTTCAGATGAATGCCCTGCGACGGCCTGGACATACTTCTTTCGATGGAAAAGTTACGAAAAACTGATATTGTTGAGTATGGGTACGGTGATGAGTATTGATGATTCTAAGAAGAATATTTCTCTTCAATTCGCAATATATTTCGTAGATTTTTATTTTGTTTCGCACTCTAAAAAATTAAGACGCTTAGTTAAGATGCATTAAGTGTCTATTCTACATTAATTTTGTTCGAACGTCTAAAATCGGTCATCCGTTGACACTTGGCACATCTAGTTGAGACACATTATACGTTCAGAAAACATTCGTATCACATATCTCAGCTAGACGTGTCAAGTGTCAACGGATGACCGATTTTAGACGCTCAAGCAAAATTAATGCAGAATAGTCGTTTGATACATCTTTAAGACGCATGGCATTTTTTAGAGTGCGTCGTGTCGTCAAGGAGACCATGTCCAAATCGTTGACCTCCATAGGGTGTGGGTGTGGATGTGGGTGGATCTTGTATTTGCTGACAGCTACACCCACACCCAAAGCGTTAGAAAAGTATATTTTTTGAACTTGCAAAAATCCAACTACTTTCCTCGTCAAACATAAACTAGATTCTATAACAATTCTGATCAGCTAGACTCATATAAATGTTTATCCACAGGAATGCATTAGAAAAAATTCGAGCAACATAGATCCTGATAAAAATAAAACATATACCATTAGCTAGGTTCATTCTAATGGCACAAAAATTTTATTTTCAATTTTAAGAATTGGTAGAAAACTATTGGTTTTCCGATGAAATTGTCTAGGACACTAAACACAAGAACATTCTCTGACAGTTCGAAATTCGAATTTCTTTTTATTCTTTTTAATCGAAACTTTTGCGCAATGCCATGGTCGTACCTATGGCTGGGCACCAAAAGAACATCCTTTACAATGAGGGTCTGGATGTGGGTCTCAGTCTCAGTCTTCTATTTAAACCCACACCCATACTCTCGACTTTACGTAGGGCACCTTCTGAATTATTCTCAGAATTAATAATTATGTTCTGTAGATCATTAGATACTTTTTATGGTAATGTATAGCTTGTATTGTTGGAGTACATAAGACGTTCGATTTATTGAAAATTTAGATGTTCTATTAATGAGTTAGTATGTTTAACAAAACTAAAAGCAAAGGGCATATGTCAGATCAAAACGCAGAATATTAGTTAGATCACTACAATGAATGAATGAAAAATACTGTTTCTAAGATTAGTCTTCAGTTATACTTTATGTTGTTTAAAATAATTATCTTTCGATTGGAGTCACTGATTACGTTTTCAGTCCACATTTGCGTGCACATGTTTCAAGGCCCTTCGATATGATTTCGGGCAAACCATTCACTAGCTCTTTAACTTTCTTCTCGGAATTAATTCCTAATGCCGGGCCAACAATTTTGAGTGGAAATTGTTGCATAAAAGCTGTAGCAAACAGACTGCCAGGATCCTCGCTGCTGAATGCTGATATCAAAAGGCCTCTTTTACAGCCCGTGTTTAGTGAAAAATGAACTGCTCCTTGTGGAATCACAAACGCTTGTCCCTCTTCCGCATTGACCACTACGGGATCGATACCATTTTCCATATAGAATCCATGTTGAAATGTACCTTTTGCAACAGTTATTAATATCGTTGCTCGCGGATGCGTATGTGGGTTAAGTATGCTGCACGCATTCATATATGTATAGCTCATTGCAACACCACTGTTGACGAGTGCAGGATAATTGCCAGCCTGAAAAAAAAGCGCTTAGTTTATGGTGTGTTACTAACCATGTAAAAGAGATATGGCATCCAACGACTTTTTTACTAAAATTAACATGGTAAACATCGTTTGTTATGATGTTAGTATAACAGCAGTTCAGGACAAGAGCGAGATCGAATGACAACAGAATGAAGAAAAAGATGATCCTTCACGGTACTCGAACAACACACTTTCTGCTGACCGGGTAGATATACTACTGTTATATTAAGAAGGACATTTTCTATTCCGTCTCATGGTCCACATCGTTTATATAAAGTATAGTAGGTGTTGAATGGGAAATCGTAGATTCCCTTTTTTGTCTATCAGATCAAACATAGATCTCAAAAAAATAGCTACTTAGTGTACATAGAAGCAAACTACTAAATAGTTTCAATCAATACCACTTTTAATCCTGTTTCGCAGCAAAACACAAGTTTTTCCTGGTATTTTGGCATCATTTCAGTTGTTGTAGGCAAAAATCTCTACCAAAAACAATTCAAATGATGCAAAAAGTAACAGCAAAAACTGATCCAAACTAATATGGACTGAAAATATCAGAAGTTTCTTCCATTCGTACACAAAATTAGTACATTTTCGACATCTCTGTCTGATCAGTTAATTTCGTAGTTTTGAACAAATGAAAATACGCTTTCACAATATCAACGTAAGAAGCTTCATAAAAATTTTTAAAATTTAACGAAAAAAAGATATTATCTTTTTCCGCTAATTTCTTGAATTTGAACGAACTAAAATGTCATTTTTTCATTAAATTTGCATATTTTTTATACACAAGCAGTGAAATACTTACATTTGCAGTTATTGATCGTCCGTCTGCGGTTTCTCTCACGCCAACTGTTGCTGTATTAAAATCGAACAAATAATTGTATCTAGTGTTATTTGCCATTTGTGCTTCACGATCGCGTTCCGTCGGAGACGATTTCAATCCTCGCAAAAAACTGTCACTTGGCAGTTGATCACCTGCACATGAAGCTTCATTGAAGAACGCGAGTATCAATATTCCGATAAAAACTATCATTTCTAAAATCTGAAATAGACAATGAAATCATTTTCAGTCATTTATACTTCCATCTTCAAAACTAGTCATTTGACTGAACATATTAATCAGTTCTGAACTCGTCTTGCGTTTTCTATAGCAAACTTTAAAAATATATGCAGTGATGGCGATCTTATTATTTTCTCAATTTTGTGATTATTATGGTCACTAATTTTCCTTATTATGATAGGTTTAGGCAGTAGAAAATTCTATCTACAGGAAAGTGGGTACAGCAACGTCAAAATCAGGTTTTGGCCATTTTCAACACCTCTTCAACATACGTTGTGATATTTATGTTCGGTACATACTTTATCTATTCACATGGCAATACGTGAAGATGAAGCTTTCTTCAACAACTATGATTTTGTTGTGATATGACAATATTTTTTAATCAATAAATAACCATATCACATTTGATATTCCTTTTTTAATCTATTCTGATGATTATGCAGATTGTCCACAACCATCATTTTTCCTTAAAATATAATATTTCTCAGAAAAAACAGTAAAATATACAAAGTTATCTTTGATATATCATGTAATGTTTTCTATGCCTATATATCCGAATAAGAAAGATTGACTCAACTACGTGTATAATAAAGAAGTAAAAAACTCAGAATCACTGAACCATGTATACATATTTTTCAGAGTTTTTCATGCTAAGAAAAAAAAATCTCTTCAAAATACGACAAACATACATCTACGACAACAGTACAAATATATTTCGACATTTCCTACAAACGTTTTTTAAACATTCGCTCATACTGTGTGAGTGTCACTTTCTTACATTAATCACGTATCTGTTTTGCTCGTGTTACATGAAAGCATATCGTGCATCTTCAGTTAGTTTTAACTGGTTTGCTCGGATAGTGACATTAAAATGTCCTTTTGACAATGAAACATGAGTTTTCAATGGCATTCCATTCATTTTTTGTTTAAAAAGCAATAAATTCTTTCAACAAAAATCACTGGAAAGTCACTCGACAATACAGCTGATGTGATGAATACTTCCCACCATAGTAAT